AGGAGCGTCCTCTTTCATGCGCTTCAGTGGCATTAGCAACATTATTACTTACTGATAATTTAGCTTCTTTCATTATCAAATACAGTTCATCATCTTCACGTCTCCAAACCCAAAATTTGTTGGTAATTCCATTGACCTAAAATTGAAAAAAGAATGATGTTGAAGTCATTTATTACAAATTGAAATTATTGAAGTTATATTCAAATAAACCCAAAAGGTTTTTTGTTTTCTGCATGTTTTGCAGTTCCTTAAATTGCAAAAACCGCTACCACGGTGGTATCTGAACAGTCATTTAAACTGATTTGAATTTTTGCAGTTCACATCAGCTTCTGACGCTTCATTCCATTCACGGGTTAAGATGAACTCAACAAATTGGCCGACTCCCAATGTATGGGTCTTCATTGCTCAAATGGTTGAGCACTGTAGTACTAACGCGATTATAAAATTTTTCTATATTGTAATATAAAATTATTTTGCAGTTCAACTGTAAATATTAGGGAGACGTACTAGAGTAACGTTTACGCCAAACGATCAAGTTTTCTAATAACGCCACTTTTATCCATAAGAATTGTTCTGAGCTATTTTTATCTGATCATTTTCTATTTTGAGAATTTTCAAATAGAATTTGCATGACCTTTGCCGTTTGTCGTGAATATGACTCTAGAGAGGTTAAGCATCACGCGTATGTCCAATGGCAAACGCGAATTTGTACCACGTGACCATGCAAGTTTCCCCATTACTTGCCGTTTATTGTTCATTTTTTCTACACATATTATAGATTAGTGGTCTAACCCCATTTTTTATTCATTGTTTTGAGCTGTTTTTATCTGCTCATTTTCTACTTTGAGAAATGCTCAATATGAGGTTTGCCGTTTGCCGTATACGTGAAGCTTAAACTCTCTTCTCTCTCACCATTGGTAACCTCTACTGAAGTCACCGAAACCAAAGTAATCAAAAACCAGGAATAGGAATTATATTTTGAAATCGTATACATGAAGCAATCCTACTTTGTACGAGCGTACAAAAGCTAGCTTCGATTACTAGAGGGCGCTAGAGCACCGGAAATATCAATTCATCATTTTCACATAGACGATAATGAACCTTGTTTATCTTCCAAAATTTTGCATAACTTTTGTTTTCAATTTCTCAGTCGTCCGAAGAGAAAACGAAGACAATGGTTATGCAAAATTTTTTTTTTTTTTTGGGAAACAAGGTGCATTATGGTCTATGTGAAAATGGTGAATACAGCCTAATAGAGACAAGACTAAATAAACAGTGTCATGTACATTTCGGGCTGTAACAAATGATAATTTGTAGCGTAGAACCTGTTGATAGTGTTTTATTTACTTTTTTAAATTCAATCTCATGCATTGATAAGATGTATCCTCTCGGTATTAGAATGCCTATCAAATATAACTAAGACTTAATTTGTAAAACTGTCCATTTTATTTTAAAAATAAGGAAGAATAAATTGTTCAAATAGATACTGATAGGGGCACGAAATGAAAAGCGAATGTATATGACAGATAAATTTATAAGTAAACAAATCAAAGCGAACGAGCCGACTTGAACAGTAAATTTTGAAATGCAAATCTCATCATTTGAAATATATTCTCTAAATTACCCCTTATTTTCAGTACAATTTATCATATTTCACTTGCAGTCTATGACATTGGTCGTCAATTTTGTAGAGATGTGTGCGATTGCACTTAAATCGAGTTAAACTAGAGATAATAAGCGGCTTTTATAAATTTTCACACATTACTCACTTCATTAATTTCGCTTTGTTTACAGAATAAACGGCTATTATATATTTTCCTTTTCTTCTAACAATAAGATAAGCTTAATCGGACCTAAGCACCGTCTCTGGTTGCGGAAACGAAATCCATTTGAATCTATTCCCTCAATGATACAGCGCAGGTAAGAAACTGGGAGTCGTAATTCAACCCGAATTCAATACCGAAAGCAACTCTTATGACAAGAAACCAGCCCTGCTCTAACTATTTTTCGGATTCCTTCTGCCGGTTGTGGCTTGTATTAACACCCTCTTATAAACTACCGTCTGGCGCGCAAAAACCGAGTTGCAAAAACGAAATACGATAGAAGATTAATGTATCAACAATCTCGTACAAATTCATCTCTGTACGGTTTTTCAAGCCTCAGTTATTCATAGCGGTATTTCAGCCCAAGCAACAATGGAAGTTTCTATCAGCATGATGACGCCACGTCGTGCTACTGCCGTGCCAAGCTGGCTCGACTGTAGCTCGACTGCAGCACGACTTGGTTTCAGACGTCGAATTTAATTCAGTCGAATAGAACGGCTGTTGCCGAAAACAAAACACGAAAAGATGGAAACGGCTCGGCAAACTTTTAAATGTATTCTAATGTCAGTTTATAATTTATGAATTGAGTTCGGCACGGCGGTAGCACGACGTTTGAAACCTACTTGGTTTGAAACGTCACGCTACTGCCATGCTAAAGTCGAATTTAATTCGAGCAATTGAGTTCGGCACGGCAGTAACACGACGTTTGAAACGGGCCTTAGTTTACCAATTAAACCGATTAAATCAGGGGCACCCAACGGCAATTTTCGGGAAAATATCTGTTCGGAAGACGATTTGAGAACTAGAATTTTCGGAACATTTGTTGTACAATTTCTTGCTTGCCTGCCTCTCCTAGGATTTTCGAACATCTACAAAATGGTATAATTACCCATTTTAAACGGATATTTACCCTAAAAAAGGCCACCTAGAATTTTCGGGAGCCTTTTCCTGGCTGAAATTTTCGAAAAGGTAAGTTTTGATCCCTATAATTTTCGGATCACTAGACTTTCAGCTAGGAAATCCGAACAGATGAAAAGTTTTTAGGGGATAAAAGTATGCCTATATCTACCGTTTAAATACTAAAATACGTTCAACAATGCTATGTTAAGTGGTTTTTAACTATATCCTCGTTGGGTGCCCCTGTTAAATGAAAATTAAGAGACATGCTTAAATAGAGAAACTGGTCAAATGATAAATCGTCTGATCATTGAACAGTAAATTTTGAAATGCAAATCTCATCATTTGAAATATATTCTCTAAATGACCCCTTATTTTCTGTGCAGGTTATTACATTTCAATTGCAGTCTATGTCATTGGTCGTCGATTTAGTAGAGATGTGTGCGATTGCACTTAAATAGAAATTAGAGATAATAAGCGGATTTTATAAATTTTCACACTTTACTCACTTCATTAATTTCGCTTTGTTTACAGAATAAGCGGCTATTATGAAATTTTCCTTTTCTTCTAACAATAAGATAAGAGTAATCGGACCTAAGCACCGTCTCTGGTTGCGGAAACGAAATCCATTTGAATTTATTCCCTCAATGATACAGCGCAGGTAAGAAACTGCGAGTCGTAATTCGACTCGAATTCAATACCAAAGGCAACTCTGATGATCGGTTAATGTTACAAGAAACTAGCGCTAGCCCTGCTCTAAATATTTTTCGGATTCCTTCCGCCGGTTTTAACTTGCATTAAAACCCGATTAAACTGCCGTCTGGAGCGCGAAAACCGATTCGCAAAAACGAGAGGTGATAGAAGATTTAATGTATCAACAATCTCGCACAAATTCATCTCTGTACGGTTTTTCAAGCCTGAGTTATTCGTGGAGGTATTTCAGCCCAAGTAATAGATCGTGGGCCACAGAACATCTGTTTCACTGCTGTTTCTTAGTTTACCAATAAAACCGATTAAACATCAATCGAAGAGAGTGCTTTTAAAAATATAGAGAAACTGGTCAAATGATAAATCGTCTGATCATTTTATACCGACTTTAAGTGTGAGCCGCCATTTTTAATTTCAAGCAACGCGTAGACCTAATAGAAATTCAAACGTGATTCCAAAACGAATAATCATATTGACCTGAAAATTGTTAAAACGATAAGTTCTAGGAAGTCTTATTCCTTCAGTATTGTATTATGAAACGTAGAAATAAGAAGGATTGGTGTTAAATTGTATTTCGTATTTCAAAATATGATGCAAACCAGCAAGGAGGTAAAAATGCCTTTAGTTCAGTTTATCACTGTAACACTTCACTGAATTAGATTATGGGATTACTAAGAAGATAGCTAAAATATCATTAAAACGAAAGTTCGATGCAAATATCACACGTGCTGAACTAATGTCTACGAATTTGATAAGAAAGCGTCTAATCGCCCCGTAATATTGAATTTTCTTGGCTGCCCGTATGCAAATGTTTAAAATGGTAAAGCCGAGATTATCAGTGATAAACCATAAAAAAATAATTAACTTTAGCATTTAATAAATGAGACATTCTTGCCAGAAATTCAGTTTCCTTTAAACTCCTGTAGTGTTTCCCCTAGTAATAATTTTCGTTTTCGTCTAGATATTGCTAACTTTCTACTGTTTAAGTGATCCTGAAATTATACGCCATCTTCTTTATGCTCTTGTACCCCCAGGGAAGTAAAAAACCTCACATGTCTACCCCGCCCAGGTACATGTATGTTTAACAACATTACATATTAGCTCTTTGCTTCTCTTAACCCGGCATCTCACTGCTACCCTCTCTGGCAATTTTTTTTCATTGTGCTAAACGTGTAATATTTTCACGTTAAACCTTATTGCCACCTATTACTAAGAGGTATAATGACGACCAGGGTAGATTTTCCCTCATTGGAAGCAAGATGTCTACCGAGCACCAACTCCGTGTACACTTCTTCTCGATTTTTTTCATAGTTCCTCTCACTTACCTAGAAATTGAAGGTATGAACGACAGCGAAATTGATGTTTTCGTGTTAGTTGAATAACTGTTTCATACGTACATGCTCGTAAAATTTTGATTTAGTGATGAAGAACTGTAAGTTACAAGAAGGCTTTGATTTCACGAAGGATGAATCATTGTTGACACGTAGTTACTTTTTAATTAACACAGTATCTTTATGGGTAAAAAATGTCGAATATTCGCACAGTGACACTTAATAGTTTGTTCTTGTTTGTACCACAGGACTCAGCTTCAAAGCAGGAAAATTCAATGTGACCACAACTTTGAGTCTGTTTGCCTGTAAAAATGTTTCTTTTGAGGAGCCTTTTACTGTTGGACAAGACATTAAAGTTCTCATTTCTAAAAGCCATGCAACGAAAAGTTCTACTCGTGGAAATGGTGCAGCAATTTGGGTGGAATCTGTGAATAACAAGGCATTTACTGTCTGTGTTTTGGAGTACGGAGATGGCTCAAGTAGCGCTTCGCAAGTGAACTGGATGGCGCTGCAATCTGTACCTGCTGGCGCTCAACTAGGCACAGCTTCTTTAAACACTTGGACTACTGGAACAAAGTGTAAAAGAATCGCTTTTGAAAAGGTTCCATTAGTTCAGTCTTTCATCTGTTTTTGTATAAATTTCATTTCGTTTGTCTCCTACAAAAAAAAAATCCTTCAGCCTTTCACTTTATACTCGTTATGCAGGTGGTGTGACGTGTTTTCTTAGTATTACCTGTTGTGTCATCTTACATTTTCCCGTATTTGTCATATTTCTTGAAGAGATGAAAAGTTTGATTGATAGACTGGGATAAGCTCAACAGAATGATGTTATTTTTTATCAGTTACCGTGACGTCATTAATGTGGCGGCCATATTGGCTGCCATCTTGAATTTTATTTAAAATTCGTGTTTTGCTAAAATTTGTCTTAATGGCATAAAATTTGAGAATTAAGTTTGAAGTACGCTATTTTTTTTGGAACTATGCTATGTGTAATTTTTTTAAAAAGGAACTAACGCGCATTTTTCTTAGAAGTGGCTTAGCCTTATGCTATTTATGAAGTCATATCTTGCTACCATAGCTACCTTCCATTACCAAATTTGAACGGAATTTGCCCTAGGAATAAAATGAGCAGTTGCTGGAAAGAAAAGGCTTTGGCTAAAAATCCGTTTTTGAAAATATTGGGCAAAACCTGCGCGCTTCTACCAATTCAATTGATGTTAAATTTCAAGTTCTAAATCTTCAATCTCTTTCTTGTTCTTAATTCGTTTTGGCAGAGAAGAACAAATTAAGAACAAGAAGGAGATTAGAATGAAGAAAAAGAAATAGAGGAGAAAAGATAGGGCTTTAAAGGACCAGAAAGAGTAAACTGAAGCACTTAAAGAAGAAAATATATAGAAAATTAGATCAAGAAAATAAAACAACTTTGAGAAACAAGTGGGTCAAGTAAATATATTACATAAAGTAACAGACCAATAAAAAGATGAGAAATAAATAAGAGTTGAAGAAACTGAAAAAAGAACAGTGAACTTATAGTTCTTATGTCCGAGTTAAATAAACTTGCAGGTAGTTTTATTTACAAAGGATGCTGGGAAAAAAAGAAGGAAGTAATAGAAGAGTTTAAAAAAGTAAAAAAAAAACAAAAAACAGAAAACGCTGAAACAAATTTCTGTTTGGTTTTGTTTTTTTTTTGTCCGTTTTTCTGATTTTCGTATCTTGACTCTTTCTGACTACCTAACATGGCCAAAGAAAAATGATTGCCAAATCATTCATCTTTCATTTGTAAAATCCTAAGAAATATTTGATTAATCTATGCAAGACTCTCATAAAAAAGTTCCATTGAAATAGTGAGACTTCAGGGCTTCTTCCACAAAATTTAAGAGTTGGAGTATGAAAATATCACGCCATAATGTGGTCTAGGAATAAAGGGGTTAATTGTTTTTTAAATATTTATTTCATTTAACACTCCACTTTACCTGCCCTCGATCAGCAACAGTGCTGCCTTCCATGGTAGAACTTACAGTTTCTCTTCTTTGTCATCTTTGTTCCTTGAAAATGTTTTATGGATAATATCATTTGTTCATATTTTTCCTCTTTCAGCGTTTCCAGGCTCTTCCAAATATCTTCGTCACTGTTCGTCACCAGGTTCTTAAAAGACCTCAAGACGCTTTGGCCCTGTGGGTAGATGACTTGCGCAAGGACAGTTTTAAACTCTGCGGCAGAGAAATTAAGAGTTTTGATGGAATTCACAAAAATATCAAAGTTGTAAGTAATAATCCAGATAATTGCTTTCTTCGAAAATGAATTGTTTTGTTAGTAGTGGTGCCTTTTGGAGCTAAGTAGAATTGCACGAACTCGTAACCACAGAACGAATTTTATGCACTGTTATGTTGGTATTTTCATTAACACCAATATAGAATGTTTTTCGCACAAAACAGTAGACAAAACTCTACAACAGCTTATTCAAAATAGCCACGGCTCAGTATCGTCATACCTTGTAACCGTAGCAACGTTTTGCAACAAAATTTGTAAAAATGTTCCTGAGGAAGAAATGAACGTTTAATGAAAACGTTGATGCTCGATGATTTTTCTCTCTCATCAATCCCCCACCCCCCTTCTTGTGCATTTGAGAGCAAAGAAAATATTAAATAAGTGGCGTTGTTGGGTACCCTTGCTTTGCTTTCTTCTTGGTTTGAAAGCGTAATGACAGTAAGAACAAGTGTTACATTTTTAGTCTCAAAATTCTTGCTTCATATCTTTACCTCTTTCCTGCAGGATTGGATGGCTTTTACCAAATTGAAGTTTGACAATGTCACCTTGACTGATAGTCTCGTGTTTACAAACAACAACTCACCATCAAACAAACAGGACAACAGCGCTGTTTGTCAGGTAGTACCATTTGACTCGTGTTTTAAGGCTTGCCTAAACTAATTTGTGGGCTTTAATTTCAAGTAGAAACATTTCTCTCATCTTCACTTGTTAAGCTGTTTCCTATCCACGCTTGATTCTATTTGATGCGGTTTTTCATTGTCTGTCTAAGTCACGTGACTGGCATTGGCCTTCTAACCGTCAAAATGTTTCACCGAAAATGGGCAATACTTAGTCAAACTGTATTCTCCTTATTTTATCGTTTTTGTATGGCTTATAGCTAGTGCTTTAGAGTGCCAGCTTTTAATTATGTCCATGCTTTGTCAGAAACCGTCAATTAAGAGTCAGGTCACGTGACTTAACAAACATACAAGAAACTGATAAGGTATAGAATGAATACCGTCTTAAAGGGCAGAATCGTGTTAGCAACCATCATCTTTAGGCCATTTTGACGTCTAAAATTTTCGAATGTTTGATATACAAATGTATCCAATTTAAAGAAACACGTTTTTGTAACGTCATCAGCAGATAGATAATATCTTTGAATATATTGTATCCTTTCAAAAGAAGAAGTTCAATTTTCCACCGGTATTTAGTTGGTATGAGAAATGAGAAAATGGATGTCAAGATAGTTTTTCTTGGAAAGTGGTTATCTATTTCTTAAGCTATTTTTTTTTATTCTTGGTTTCAGAAAGTCAAGTTCCAGGATGCTTTTTATGCCCCTCCGGTTGTAGTGGTGTCTCCTAGACTTGGTTACAATAACACCAAATCACGTTTCTCAGGATCTGCACCATGCAACTTAGTTACTGCCTGGGTTGAGGTTAGAAACATATAGTCTGCCTATTCTTCCTGTGGTTCTAATAGGGAGAATTTGTTTAAAAGTAAAGAAATGTTGTTTTTACCGTTGTCCTTACTACGTTAAAAACTTAGATTTTTCCAACGACGTTTAGCGGGTATTTAAAAGGAATGAAGGCTATTTAACTGGTTTCACATTTTCATATAATTATGATAGTACATTAAACTATTTTTACGAATAATAAAACCAGGCTTTCCGCAAAGGAAACGCTCATAAGAACTTTTGTGTAGACTTGTGCGTTGGAAACTGATTTTTTTATAGTTTTGTATTCGTTTTGTTCTTTAAAACAAGATCTAACAGCTTCTTAACAATTCAGTATACGCGATTTCTTACTCTTCTAGCTTCTTCTTGCACTAACCCTTGGTTTAACCATCAATAAATCGACAAGTCAGTTTAAATTTTAAAAAAAGATATATAGATTGTATGACCTTTTTTGTTTTACTAACATACATTGAACAGGTTTACTCTAGTTCAACAAAATGCTATATTTTGTGAAATGTGAACTTAAAGTATTTCTTTCGCTGTTTTGGAATATGCTTAGAACACATCTACAAACGAAACAGAAGTGTGTTTGAGAAGCTACAACAATGACGCCAACAATAAGGATATCATAAAGGTCGATTATATGGTAATTGGAGGTACGTAATAAATTATGTAACGTAAAATAAGGTAACAGCAATGACTTTTATCTGTAGACAATCACGGTGCTCTCCTAACAATAACAATAACATAATAGTGATTGCCTGGACAATACTAAAATACATATGTTTAATTTCGATCAACTTTTATCCTAAATTAAAGTTTTTTTTCCTTTGTTTCAAATCAGTCAGGTTATACATTACCAAGCTCCAAAACAAAAGAAAGTGAGGTTAAAAGCTAGGTTAAAATTCAGCAATATACGACATATATGGAACCGCTCATGTGCTTTAGGCTGTGGCCACAATATACTGGATAACGAAAAGCTATAGTGTATAGTATAGTCTGTGAACACCTACATGTATCCAACATCTGACTCTCGACTTTAGAAATCGGCGAGGCTCACTTGCAGCCTCTCTTTGTCACAACCGCATCAACCGCAATCACGCCGCAACAACCATTTTTTTAGTGTGAACAGAAGCCCTATTTGATATGATTTTGGTGGCGGCGCAAAAGCTATTTGTTATAATGTGAAATTAACCTTAACCTTTATCCAGTTCCCTAATAACTCAAAATTCCAGCCTGTTTTATCTATTGACAAATTCGAAATGAATGAATCTGAAATGATGCACTCTGATTCCATCACTTGTATGTTTGTCTTTTAGACTTGGATCCTTGTATAGATGTAACATGTCATTATGACAGTCTGTGTAAGGCTTTTGGACCTAATGATGCACGCTGTGTGTGTTTGGATAGCTGTCCAACTTACAAAGAACCCGTATGTTCATCCAATGGCACAACATACGACAACAAATGTCTGTTTGAACAGGAAGTTTGTCTCAATCGACTGAACTTTACCGTGCAACATCCTGGGAGCTGTGAAGGTCAGCAGTTTTGTTGCCTTTTTTAGTGGTCAACGTGCACCTTTTCACTGAATTCTGTCTTTTTGGAGTGATAGTAATTTTTGTTTTACTTCATTTCCGTTTATTTCCCAATGGTTTAGGGGTAAAGCTGTTGCGCCAATAAGGGATTTAAGTTTGTTACTGTATGCCTAACTAATCTTTGCAACTCCTTTTTAGGATTTCCTTTCCAGCGTGGTCGCCTTCACATGGCCCATATTCCATCTCTGGGTTATTCTCATTGTCAAGTAATTCGTTTCAAGCCTTTTGTGTTTTATCCTGACAAACCCACTGAACTGCAGATCACTGCCAATCATATTGATACCAGTGACAAATCCTATGTCCATGACGCGGCAGTATCATGGATTGAACATGTGAATAACGACGGATTCACTGCCTGTGTGATGGCAGCTGGATATAACGAAAGGAAGTCTTATGCTAACGTGACAGTTGATTGGATGGCGTATCAAGGTGCTCCAGTGGGTGGCGTGACTGGTGAACTGCGCATGTCACAGTGGTGGACAGGGACGACTTGCGCAGCTGTGAGATTTCCCACCGTAAGTTGCTTTGTGTGTTTGTGTGCTTGTTTATCTTAATGCTCTCTTTTCCTAAGCGTCTAAATAAACATCATAAAATCATTCAGTTTGACTTTTAAAAATGAAACTTTCAGGGTGCTCCATTGTTTTGAATAAACGCGATGAAAAGATAACAATATCAACATAAAGTGACCGTTCTATTTTCTCTCATTAACCACTGATATTTAGTTATGTGGTTTTGAAGAAGTGAAACAAAAAGTTCAAACTGCCACCTTTAATCGCTTTCCTGAATCTATGAAAATCACCATTCTTGCTTCGAATCGATAATAAAATAAATAAATAAGAAAAGATTATAATAAGTATAAATGCAGAGTATGCCAAGCAATTTATCAGAATGACGATTATTCTATGCTATTTCGCAGGGGAAATTTTCAGTCAAACCTTCAGTCTTTGTGACGTCAATGCATTACAATCCAGGACTAAAACGTGACGCTGCAAGTGTATGGATTGAAGATGTGACGGAATCATCATGCAAAGTTTGTATGAGAGAACTGCAGAATTATGCTGGATCACACCGAGATATTTTTGTCGTAAGTATAGGGTGTTCTTATTTTAAATGTCAAACATGGATCATGGTTTGGGCTGCCACACCTTGACGTTGTGCCAAGCCTTTGACTCTGGTAATTCTACAGATACCTTGAAAAGAACAGCCCATCGTTATCATAAGTCGAAGAACTCTGTAAATTCATTTTAGAATTAGTTATTAAAAAGCGCAAATTACTTTTCAACATTCTTCACCTTCACACGTCATGCCCATTGCTTTTTTTATTATTTATATATGTATGCATGCCTGTCGGTTAACCAGAAATAACGCGTTGTTGATTTTATTTTCAGAATTGGCTGGCCTTTTCGGATCTTCCCAATCCTCCCTTTTCAGAACATAATTCGATCTACTTTGCAAATGATAAACCTCCCAAAAGCAGACATTATAATGCATTTTGCAAGGTCAGTATCAGCGTTTGAGTTTGAATCCAAATCTCAGCTAAAAAACCTTTTTTTACTATGGTAGTTATCAAATTTTACTCTCAGGCCATTAATGCGAAGGTGTTTAACCTGTAAAAGACTTAGCAATGTACAAGGACGTATTCATGGATACCATGATACTGACAATACCATAGGTCACACTTTCGCTTCTCCTATACGTCACCTCTATGATGCGTTCATTTGAGTCTCTCCATTTGGTGTCTGTATAAACAATTTTAAGAATTAAATGTAAGTATTCTGTGAAAGGAGACCGATAGAGCAAAAGCATAAAACCCACTTTGAATGACAATTTCACGTTGTCAATGGTTTAAAGTTTAGTTGCAGCCTATGTTTCAAAAGGCTTCTTGTGCCGAGTTAAGTGAATTATCTTCCAAATAACGTTGGACTCAAAATCTCTTTCGTCTTACTGTATTTGTTTCACAGATTTGACCTTCTCAGCTTGGAAGTGTACTTTATATGGTGCTAGCCCAGTTTATTCTGAAAGTCGATATGGCATACTTTTCTCAAATTTTTAATTGCAAAGTTAAGATTATATCAAAATCGTCAGGAAAACAAAAAGACCCTCTTTTTTCAAGGTGGAGAAAAGCCTAATCAAAGCCCACATTCTCAAATTTCAGTTTATTTCCTTCTTACCCGTCTATAGTCGAGGGCACTTTAAAGTAATATCTATGAACAGTGAAGTAAGATTTAGCCATTCAGACTCTTACCAGAGGATTCTATCAATACAAAAAGAACTGTTGGATTTGGAAGTAGACGATATCTTGATAACAATTCCCCTTCAAGTTGAAATATTTTCTTTATCTTTTATAGGAGGCAATCTTTGCCAAAAGTTATAACACAACGCCACACGTCTTCGTTTCTGCTTCTCACTCGTCAAAAGGAGGGAATAAAAGTCCAGTTCATAACAGCATAGCTGCCTGGGTGGAGGTTGGTAACTGGTGATTTCAGGACTGATCAAATATTCCATTTGGACAAAGAGGTCATGTGAAATCATTTTTATGGAAATGAACGTTATGATTTTGCCTTCAAAAGACGATTAGTGAGTAACATGTTAAACAAAATAATATTGATTTAGTTTTTCAAACCAGCACCATTTTCTTAAAATGAGTAAGTTCGTAGCTGGTCAGGTGACCAAAATGTGATTTTTAAAACTATGAATTACCTCTTTCTGAACAGAAATTTTGCACCTAAACTTCAAGAAAATTGCTACGATGATTTTTATGCGCTCTGTCAATTATTGTCATCAACAGGATTCCAAGTCATTGTTTAAAGGAAGCATTGGCCACGTGACCTCTTAGTGCAAGTGGCTTAATTTCATATTAAATTATGAGTAGTATAGTAGGGACCGAATTAACCTTTATTCGCAGACGAATCTCTTTATTCTGCCGAGGAATATATAGACGCTTATGACGTTATGGCTTTTTATCTTTATTGATTGAATAGTAACGTGTAAATAATAGTAATAATAATCATAATCATAACATATTCAACCGTGGTAAACCTGTCAGCGAAAGCTGTTATAAATGGAGAGAACAATACCAATTTCAGCACTGAAGCATACAGGCAACTACAACAAATAAAGATAAGAATAAGTAGTTAGAGCTGTATACTGGTGCTTGGGCACCAGTCAAAAAAGTGCCTTCCTTAGCAGATTCTGTGCGTAGTATAGGAATTGAATTATCTAAATATAGCTGAAACCTCATTAACATAGGTCGTGTGCCATTTTAAAGTGGTTTAACCGGTTTTAGACTGGGGCTTTCTAGATCTTCTTAGGGAAACAAATGCGTTGCTTTTTGATTGGTTGACTAAAAACTAAGTAAAGTATTTATTTGTTGATACATGCTGTCAAAGTAATAAGCGCTAGCTCACCTTTGACATGAAATCACTGAGTAAGTATCCAGTTCTATTTCCTGCTGCTTTCATTGCCCAACAATTTTTTTCAGTTCAGGTTCTCTGATTCTTGGCGAGCAAATCGTGCATATTGATGAGTTCGAAGACCAACTAGCTCTTTCTAATAATAAACCAAATTTTCAACTTACCCCAGTCCCCCTCTTTTTCTACACAATTCAGTTACCTCGCTTCACCTTCCTTCTTTCATTTTCCTTTCACCACGAAAACCACCAACACAGCCTCCACAACCATATTTTTATTGTTATCCCGAGTCCTCCTCCACCACCACTGCCACCACCAAATTTCTATTGTTTTCCCTTCCTCACCTCCCCATTTCTATTGTTTTCCCTACTCCACCACCACAATGCACATTTTAGTACTAATGTTTAGTGCTTTTACATGTACAGTATATTAGCAGGAAAGGCTTTCGGGTTTGTGTCAAAGAACTGTATGAGGCAAAATACGACCCACTCTTCATATCCTACATAGTTTTGTCAGGTAAGAGCGCAAAAAAAAGATTTTTTACGGTATATCTTTCCATACCGTCTCTTTTTTGTGACTCAATGCCGTGATTTATACTCACAGACATTTGTCCAGATGGATGGGATTACTTCAATGGATACTGCTATTTAACGAGCTCTATATGTGCACCTTGGGTGAATGCAGTGTCCAACTGTTCAGCCATGAACTCACATCTGGTAACAGTGCACAACCAAGAGGAAAATGTGTACATACAGCACCGTCACAACGGAGAGCGATCGTGGATTGGCCTTAATGACCGAAGCGTCGAGGGATCGTTTGTGTGGACAAACAAGGAAATATCCAGTTTTCAGTTCTGGGCTCCGCAACAACCAAACAACTTGAAAAACGAAGACTGTGTCCACGCCCTTGGTGCGAAAGATGGCTACTCTTGGAACGACGTGTCATGTGATAACTGCTATAACTATACTTGTGTTGAAGGCAAGTTTTGAGTTGCCATAGAAATACTACAAATCCAAACCTTTAATTTGTTACCAATAACGAGGTTTGAAGATCACTTCTGCAGTAGTGAGTTTTTATGATTATTTTGTCGCCGTGTTATTGATCAGAATTTTATAAAGTCTGCATTTTTATGTAGCTCTCTCCCAGGCAGTAGTCTAAATATTTAGGTAAAGGTAACCCCTGTACTTATCACTCTCAGTTATTCCTAAAAAATTTTCTCATGTGTATGCTTTTACTGCTACCAAGTAAGATCACGGTGATAAAATGGTCTTAATTGACTTTTGTTGTCTACTGCAGAAATTGACGAATGCATCCGCGATTATCACAGGTGTGATCCAAACGCTGCTTGTCAGAATACCGTGGGCTCATACATTTGCACTTGCAAAGCTGGATTCTATGGAAATGGAAAAAAGTGCTTTGGTAACTATTACAGCCCTTATATGTTTTCCTGACATAGCATCCTTCTGGGCTGGTTTTATATTTAGAGTACTATATTTTGTTGTAAAACTTGTCCTTTGTTTAAACTTTAATTTCTTTTGTTTCATACACATTTTCATACTTTGCTATCCCCTAAAACAAACCCATGGCTAAAATTAAGGCACAACGCATATAGTTAGTTGTCGTAGTTAGGATTCACTGACTACATATGTTGTTCTTAATCCCTCCGTCATTAGATATAGATGAATGCAGAAACAAAACCCAGACCTGTGATGTGAATGCAGTTTGTAGCAACACTCATGGGTCCTACAAATGCACCTGCAAATCCGGATACTCAGGAGATGGAAAGAAATGCATTGGTATACAGTATTCCTTATTAGCAAAATCCAACTAGTGGTTTAATTTTATTATCAATGCTGCGTTCTGATTGGTCGAGCTACCACTAGGCTATATGTTATAGCCCGCTAGTAGCGAAAAGCGCCGGCTTTGAAAACCAAAACAGTGGCGGCTGAATCGCGTTTTGCTAGATAAAGTTGTTTTGTCTCGATATTTTTGGGCAAGTTTTCAAATCATTACTGTTTGCTTAGTACTAACTGTTCTTTTCGGGTATAAGGTAAAAATTGTTTCCAACCAGCAGGCTATTCATTTAATAAGTATTTAAGAGGCAATTCTACGCCATTTAGAAAATTCTTCATTAATAAAGTAGAAGAGTAAAATCATGCACTTTAAAAAAATTGGAAAATTAATTGATATTGTCTATATTTTATACGCTGCTTAGTACGGAAAACTGGTCCAATTTACGAATATTTTGCCCAGTAGGCAGTTAGGCCAAATTTGGTAGGTGTTTAGCGCTATTATTCCGGGCCTTAATTCCTTACACAGGTTCTTATACAGTGTCATGCTTGCAATGCAGTATATAAAACGCAGATATTATCGTTGACTTTTTAAGATGTAAAGTAGCCATATCCTGCCAAATGTACCGAATTAACATGCAGTGCTAATGTCATGTCTTCCAGCGAAGAACTGTGCTGAACTGTACAAAGCTGGAAAACGATCAAGTGGAGTTTACAAGATCGACCCAGACGGTGTTGGTGTCTTTGACGTGTACTGTGACCAAACAACAGCCGGTGGGGGATGGACAGTGTTCCAGAAGAGACTGGATGGCTCGGTTAATTTCTACCGCAGCTGGAACGACTACAAAAAAGGGTTCGGAAATCTGAATGGCGAGTTTTGGCTCGGACTGGACAAAATTCACCACCTGACAAAAACTAAAAGCAAACTTCGAGTGGAACTCGAGGACTTCAACAGAAACACGGCTTATGCCGAGTACAGCTACTTTGCTATTGCAGACGAGAGAAGCAAATACAAGCTGAGTCTTGGAACTTACTCCGGTAATTGTATTACTTACTTAATTAAAAACAGACTGCGAGCAGTCTCACTTTTTCTTCCGGTTTGGTAAGGGGAGTACAGGCGCGCGCGAGCGGCGAAACCGCAAGACGAGCGAAACAAGGGCGGCAGCCGCGCCATCAGTCACGCGCGAGGCCATTTGCGTGTCTTGCGTTTTGCACGAGGGACTACAGAAAAAAGAGAGACTGCTCGTAGTCTAAATTAAAAATGGAGTTCGGGGGAAGAACTTTTAAGGCCCAAGTAATGCCAATGATTTTGACGTTTAAGAAATAAAGACTCACCACAGAGATACAGCTAGTTACAGATACAGTGAAGTATGTAATAACCACACAGCTATCATAAAATAAGAGTAAAGCAAAGTAATATCATATGGAGCGTTAGAGTGATTTTACTTCGACCATGAAACGGATTCAATGTTTCCTTCTGTCTTCAGATCTTAACCATCGTATTGAAATCACAGTACGGTGGAGAAAAATTTAATGAAATATCTTTTGTTCCAATTTCATTTTCCAGGAAATGCTGGTGACTCGCTAAGTTATCACAAAAGCTCCTCTTTCTCCACTAAAGATCGAGATAATGACAGCTCGGATAGTAACTGTGCTACAAGTTACAAGGGAGCTTGGTGGTACGGTAACTGTCATTATTCCAATTTAAACGGCCTCTATCATCGCGGTAGACACTCTTCAGGTGCTGATGGTGTGAACTGGTATCACTGGAAGGGAAATTACTATTCCGCTAAACGAGCTGAAATGAAACTCAAACCAGTCAACTTCTAAACCAACAAACAGCAGTTGTCAGTGCTTATGTCTGCTTGATTCGCAATGGTCGCTTAAACAACTTAGCTGTAACACATTTTTTTAGACAGCTGCTGAAATGATAAATTAAGCATAACAAACTCTTTTCACAGATTTGAAGGAAAATACTATAAAACAAAGGATGTTACAATTGGCTTTCGCAATTTACGATATTGTTTATCATTTATACTGACTGCCTTCTGTCCTATTAGTCTTTCTTCTCCCGATTGACTGAACTTTATGGTTTTTTAAATACTTCTTATATTCTTTCTTTATATATGCTTTATGGCTCAATCAATTCCAAGCGTGCCCATCACCCCTGGGCATTTGTCAATTCTTCTAGAAACGGTTAACATTGTTCCTTCGTCAATATTTCACTTTAAAATATGCCTATTTTGATAGCGATTTATATGTTTATTATAAAGAATATTTTGAATACACATGCTTTAAAAAGGTACGTGTAGTTTTCGCTTCATCACCACCCTACTACACAGTATTTTTTGCATCCGTCTAAGGAAAGCAGTGATCGGTTCGCAAATGGAGGACAAACAATCACTGCATCGTTTAAAGGAAAAGACACCGGCCTTTTCAGTGACCGAGTGGCTGAGGCAGAGAGGCCTAGAAAAACTGTGCGAGATGTTTGCTTGCTTGCTGCTTGCTTATTTCGAGCGAACTCGAACTCCATTAACTAGCTTCATCCATTCCTTCCGGTTTTCCATGATGTTCTTCAGTTCAGCTATGCTCAAACCAGTATCATTTTGCAGCTGGTCTACGTATGTTAATGCTGGTCTTCCTCTCTTTCTTGCGCCGTGCTTTGGTTCCCAGAGTAGTAAATCACTTATCACCTCATCCTTTTTTCTCCAACAGTGTCCTATAAACCGCAGCCTCCTGATCATCAGTGTATCTGTAATCTTAGGAAGGTTGCCGTACAGTTCTTTGTTGGTTTTATGCTCCTTCCAGGAAACTCCAAGAACTGCTCTGAGCATTCTTGTGTACGTACCATCTAGTCTATTCATCATCTTTCCAGTCATCGTCCAGCATTCAGCACCATAAAGCAGTACACTTTCAACTGTGGCCCGAAAGAAACCTATTTTGAGATGATTTTTTAGGTTTGATTTCCACACTTTCATCATTTTGTTGAGTGCACTCCAAGCTTGTCCAATTCTTATATTCATGTCCTTTTCACTGGATTGTATCCACGAACCAAGGTATTTGAAGTTATCTACTTGCTTCAATTTGTTCCCTGCCAGTGTGACAAGATCACCTACAGGTTGATTGTACAGCATGTATTCCGTTTTCTTGTAGTTAACATGCAGACCCACTGTTTTCGCAGCAACCTCCAGTCTTAATAAGAGAAGTTGTGCCTCTTCAAGATAGTCAGAAATTAGGGCAAGATCATCCGCGAAATCAGTGTCGGTGATGTATGTTGCTACATGACGGGAGCTCTGCCGTGGTGTAAGAGTGAACCCAGTGTGTGTTTCTCTAGTAGCTTCTCTAAGGGCATAATCCAAGGCTATGATAAATAGGAAAGGTGCGAGTGTGTCTCCTTGCAGAACTCCCGCAAGAATTTCAAAGAATTCCGTATCACCATCAGGAGTTATCACCTGGGCTTCGGTGTCCTTGTAGAGTATGCTGATGGCATCCACTATCTTTGTTGGAATTCCATATGCCTTCAAGATCTCCATCAATTTCCCACGATGTATCGAATCAAAGGCTTTACTGAAGTCTACGAAAGTCAATATTGCAGGAAGCTGTTTTTCTTTTATTCCCTCTATGAGCCTACGCAGAGTTAAAATTTGCGGTAGTGTAGATCTACCCGTACGAAATCCATTTTGGTTCACCCTGAGCAGAGGATCCAGATGAGGTCTTATTCGATCTAATAGAATCTTGTTATAGATTTTCGCAGCTGTGATAGTTAGGGATATACCACGATAGTTTCCACGAGATGTTTGAAAGCTAATATAAACTTCGTGTTTTTTTAGGGCGACGACCTTGTCGAAACTGTTCCGTCGTGATGACAAAATAATCCTGTTTATAAGCTTGTCGGTTATTTGTTTAACATTCACCTGTTTTAAATACCTTCGAAAATAGGAAAGGTGTTATTAAAACTCTAGTTTATAGTTCTGTAATTGATATTAATCAGATCGGATAAATCTTTTTTGCAATAATTATAACCGGCGGCTAGGAGCGCGGATTTCCGATGGGTGTTTCACGCGTTTTGGTCAGATTATTACAAATTCCTATAAACTAAATATGGCATTTGCAGCTAATTTACTGGAAAATGCTATGTTAGTGTTGGCACGGGGTGTGGCATTTGCCCACTTTGTTATCCTCCACCGTAGGGTTTTTGGATGAACCGCCCGGCCCCACCGTGGGGGGATTGCAGCTTTTAGAGACAAATGCCCGGGGAAGGGGAGGTTGATGGGCACGCTTGGAATTGCCTGAACCATTATTGACCAAGCTGAAGGTCAAGATGGCTGGATATTGGCCAAGTTCGTCTGTCCATTTTTATGGACTAAGACGAGGCCAATGGACAGGTCCAGGCCATCTTGTTCGAATAAGCTTGGTAAATAAACGGCTCGGCCTGGGACTCAAATTACTCACACTCGGGGTGGGAGACAGTCTCCCGTTGACATCAAGACCCGAGAAAGAAAACAACGGGAGCAAGGGACTGTCTCCCACCCCGAGTAATTTGAGTCCCAGGCCGTGTCGCTATCTTTCAACGGTAACGCGTAGTTCAAGCCGAGGATCAGTCGATGGCTTTAGACGGGAAAGCTTTCAGAGATTTGCGACCTTTAATTCGCTCTCGGTGCAAAGGCCTCTTCGCTGGAGTGCCCAACCTTGGTAAACCTTTATATAGAGAAAAAACCGTTTACATAAAACCCTTAAAACGGCCATAAATCGGCCCGTGGAAAACCTTTCAATTTCGTAGGTTATAGAAACGATAGTTTTCTTTCCCATACAAATCCTTATATTTTGAATGTTACGCAACAATGCCGATACTCGCCGATGCATGCCTGTGAGACTGAGACAACACGAACACAAATAAGGAATCTTTCATCCAAATTTAAATGAACTTGCAATTTTGAGTAAAGCAGCTGGCGGGGGGGGGGGGGAGGGGAAGAGACGAGGTCTGCGACCGAGAAACGATGTTCTCACAACTTGCGAAGCGGTCACCCTGCGTGGTGGTCAGCGGATAATTGCCTTTCCCACAGTAAATATTTTTAGACTTTTTAGCAAGAAGCTAACCGGCAGAGGAAATCAGAGATGCTTAAAAAAGTGAAAAAAAAAATAATGTCATGCATCTTTCTTTTTCTTGCATATTGCATTTGTCTTTTGGTACTGAAATTGCGGGGGAAACTAAAACGCAACCGTGTTAGATCTTAACCAACAACAACACGCTCGATCGATTTACAGGTTACATCGTTTTTGCCGGGCAAGGATAACTTGATGCTGATAAAAATTACTGAGGAAAGTCTCAAAATTATCGGAGGCAAGTATATTCAGAGAGCTTTATAAATATGAGCTTACAGCTCTACATATCGTAACTGAATAAACATCCACACTTCATAACATTTCACTTCGTTTATTACGATCAGTCAACACCTTGAATCCAAAGTTAAAATTCAAAACGATCCTAACAGACAAATCACAACTGCTACTGAAAGCTCTGTACCTTGAAGCGACTTAAACGTTCCTAAGGTTTGCAGCAAAACACTGTTCGATAGCTCAACTCTTCCACGGTTCTTATCAGCTATACGGAGGGAAATTGTTTAACAGAAAAGGAAAGCCTCACACTATGTCTGAAAAGCGACATAAAATGAATAAATTTGCCAAAATATAATAGTGAGAAGCAGTCCCGCCTTCGAGCACCATGTTTTTTTTCTTCTCAAGACCGTTGATCTATGGTTTTTGACGTAATGCGCATGATCAGTAAAGAAATCCGTTGGCAAAAGCCTTGCTGATCCCTTCAACGGCATAAAAACGGGGCGATTATATATTTCCTTTTCTTGCTGATCCCTTCAACAGCATAAAAACGGGGCGATTATATATTTTCTTCCCGATGTGAATGAAATTTCTGCCTATGATAAACGTCATACTACCGTTTGAAAACCAAGAGGTAAACTAGCCTGCGCGAACAATCTCTCTCGATTCGGGAGGGACGGAGGGAGGGGGGCACGGGGGACAGAGAGAAAAAGAAAGAACGCTTAGGCGTGCTTCTCAGTAATTTTATATCTACACTGAAAAAATCGACACAAACGCCATTGAGCAAACGTTCTTGTGTAAAAGCGAAAGTTGGTGGGGAAGCCTCCTGTTCCCGCCACGGCTTCTGCGTTAAGCAAAGAAATGCTTAATGCGCAGAATATTCCAAACAAATTTAAGTTTTTAATTGGACGTAAATTAAGTGGGATTTCTCAAGGATTTTCATTTAGAAGGGAAGTCTAACTGTGTACCTCTTATTACCCGACAAAAAAACTAACACAAAAACAACAGCAAAAAACATGTGATCCGTAATTTATAGGATTGGAAGTTACAGCGTGGGTAGCAAGATACATATCATATGACTTTCTTTTCGTGGAACAAGAACTTGGTGCCTTACAAACGATTTTGCAGAACAAGCAAATAAAAGCGCACTCCATGATTCTCTCAGTTCAAAAACAAAACTATTTTATCGTTTTGATGGCTTTTTCGGAGATAAGCGCCCTTGTAGCGGCATGATTGAAGGAAAAAGAAAGATTTCTTGGTCCGTACACAAGCTAAAGAGCGAAAATGTACCAATCACATAACGAGAGATGACTTAACTACAGTATAAACAAGTATCAGTTACCTAAAAAAATAACTTCTTCTGGCCATAAAACCTTGCGTAGTCTCGTTTTTTTTCTTCGGTTCATGATCGTGGTTAAACGTTTCAAAACCAGTTGTTACTTGTTTGCTGCTGTGGCGAAAAATCTAAAATCAATATCAATATCGTCAAACAATATTAACCTTAATAGCCACTATGAAGGAATCAGGTGTTTATATCGAAAAAAATTCTGACAAGAGATTATCAGCCTAGGGTAATCATACAGAGGGAGATGAAAGTAAATGGATGTGGATCATAGTGAATATTGAAAAAACTTGGAGTCCTCCCCCACGTCTCCCTCAGTTCCCCGCTCCCTTCGACGTGTTGTCCCCCGCGCCGTTCCCCTGTCCGTTCCCTGCTTCGTTTTCCGCTCCGTTGCCCGCTCCTTTCCACTCTCGTTCGCCGCTCTGTCCCCTGCTCCGTTCCACGCTTTGTTCCCCGCTCCATTCCCCGCTCCGTTCTCAACTCCGTACCCCGCGCCGTTTGCGGCTCCGTTCCTCGCTCCGTTCCCTGCTTTATTCTGTTCATTGTAGACAAAAAAGGACTAAGTTCTATCTTCTCATCACTCTTGACCGATGATAATTGAACATGTAGTACACGATTGATCTCATACGGATCCAAAATTTGTTGGAAAGTCCATTGACCTAAAATAAAAAAGGGTGATGTGAAACTCATATATTGCAAATTGAAGTTATATTCAAATAAACCCGAAAGGTGTTTTAGGTTTTTTGTAATTGCTTAAATTGCAATAACGACGACGACAATCATATCTGAACATTTAAAATTTGTATTTCCGCAGTTTACATCATCTTCACGTTTCATTCTTTTCACGGGTTAAGATAAACCCAACAAACTGGCCTGGTCCCAATGTACATGTATGGGTCTTCCTAGCTCAAAGGTAGAGCACTGCAGTGCTAACGCAGTTCTAAAATTCCTGTATGTTGTAATATAAAATTATTTTGTAGTTCAACTGTTAATATTCTAGAGACTTACTAGTCAGAGTAACGTTTACGCCAAACGATTGTTTTGAGCTGTTTTTATCTTATCATTTTCTATTTTAAGAATTTCCAACTTGAATTTGACCTTTGCATTTTGCTGTTTGATGTAAAGGTGTCTTTAGAGAGGTTAAGCATCACGTGTATGTCAAACGGCAAACGCGAATTGTACCACGTGACCATGCGACTTTCCCCATTACTTGTCGTTTACTGTTCATTATTTCTACACATAAATTAGTAGTTTCGCCCAATTTTTTATCCATAAGAATTGTTTTGAGCTGTTTTTTTCTGCTCATTTTGTACTTTGAGAAATTCTCAACTTGAATCTGACCTTTGCCGTTTGCTGCATACGTGACGCTTCAACTCCCTTCTATCTCACCACTGGCAATGCAACCGCTATTGATGTCCCCGAAACCAAAATAATGAAAAACCAGAAATTGGAAAAATGCTAGACTGTATTTATTTCTTTGAAGTCGTATACATGCAGCAATCCTAAACTGTACGAGTGAACAAGAACTAGGTTAGATTATAAGAGCCCGATAGAGCGCCGGAAATATCAATTCACCCTCTTCACATCGACCATAATGAACCTTGTTTACCCACCACAATTTTGCATAATCATTGTTTCCAGGTTCTCAGTTGTCCCATTAGAAATTGAAGACAATGGTGATACAAAATTTTGGGGTAAACAAGGTGCATTATGGTCTATGTCCAAATGGTTATTAGAGCCTAATAGAGACAATAGAGACAACACCATGTCATCACATCCGCTCTTGCTCGCATTTTCACTGAGTAATCATGTCTCTTAAGTATCACCGAAATGTTCCATTTGAAAACTGATTAAACAGTGTCACGTCCATTCCCCGCGTAACAATTGATACTTTGTAGCGTAGAAGCTGTTGATAGTGTTTTATTTACTTATTTTATTTATTTAATTTCATGCATTATAAAGATGTATGCTCTCGGGGTAATGCGTATCAAATATAACTAAGAATTTGTAAAACTGTCCATTATAGATGGATGAATAGATGCTGATAGGGGCACGAAATAAAAACAGATATAATTTGTAAGTAGACAAATCAGAGCTTTCGAGCGTAAATTTGAGTAAATTTGAAATGCAAATTTCACCATTTTACATTGAGTCTAGTATTGCGACAGACCTAACTCACGATTGAAATGTATTCTCAAAATTATACCTTATTTTAAGCACAATTTATCCATATTTTACTATAGCATTCCTTGCTCATCGATTGTTTGGTAGAGGTAAACTGAGATAATAAGCGGCTTTTGTGAATTTTCACACATTACCCATTTCATTGATTTTGCTTTGTTTACAGAATAAGCGGCTATTATTCCAATAATAAGATAAGCTTAATCGGACCGCAGCACGAAAAATCAGGTTGACCCGAAAATCGTTGAAACGATAAGTTCCTAGGAAGTCTTATCCCTCCAGTATTGAAATATGAAACGTAAAAATCAGAAGGGAGGTGATAAATTGCAGTTATTTCAAAATATGATGCAAACCAGCGAGGAGTTAAAAATGTCTTTTAATTAGTTCTACATCAGTTTATCATTGTAGCACTTCACTGATTTAGATGATGGAATTACAAAAGCTGAAGGTATATTAACTATAAAATAGAAAGCCCGATGCAAATACCGCAAGTTCTTAACTCAGCTAAAGTTGACGAACATAAGAGAGCGTCTAATCGCCCAGTATAATTCTGAAATATCTTGGCTGCCCGTATGCAAATGTTTGAAATGGAATAGCCGAGATCATCAGTTATAAACCTGTTCACTTTTAAACAAAAAAAATAATTCGCTTTAGAAGATAAATTAGACATTCTTGCAAGAAATACCATTAAACTCCAGTAGTATTTCCCCTATTTTTTAAAACTCAAAGTTAAACTACTCATAGTTTTCGTTTTAGTCTAGATATTTGTAAAATTTTACTGTTTAAGTGATCCTGAAATCATACACCATCTTCTTTATACTATTGTGCCCCCAGGGAAGTCAAAGACCTCACCTGTCTACCCCTACTAAGTAGATGTATCTTTAACAATATTACATATCAGCTCTTTCCTGCTCCTTAAGGCATCTCAGTGCTACCCTCTCAGGCAATTTTTTCACTGTGCTGAACGTGTTATATTTTCGCGCTAAACCTTATTGCCACGTATTCCTAAGAGTTACAATGAAGACCAAGGTAGACTTTCTCTCATTGGAAGCAAGATGTCTACCGAGCACCAACTCCGTGTACAATTCTTCTCGATTTTCTTCATAGTTGCTCTCATTTACCAAGACACTGAAGGTATGAACGACAGCTAAATTGATGTTTTTATGTTATTGAAGAACTGTTTTATAAAAACATGCTCGTAAAATCTTGATTTAGTGATGAAGAAGTGTAAGATACAAGAAGGCTTTGACTTCACGAAGGATGAAGCATTGTTCACAAGTAGTTACTTCTTAATTACTGAACACAGTACCTTTATGGGTAAAAAATGTCGAATAGTTGCACAATGGTACTTAATAGTTTTTCTTGTGTGTACTACAGGAGTCAGCTTCAAAGCAGGAAAATTCAATGTGACCACAACTTTGAGTCTGTTTGCCTGTAAGAATGTTTCTTTTGAGGAGCCTTTTAACGGTGGACAAGAAATCAAAATCTTCATTTCTAAAAGCCATGCAACGAAAAGTTCTACTCGTGGAAATGGCGCAGCAATTTGGGTGGAATCTGTGAATAACAAGGCATTTACTGTCTGTATTTTGGAGTACGGAGATGGCTCAAGTGGCACTTCGCAAGTGAACTGGATGGCGCTGCAATCTGTACCTACTGACGCTCAACTAGGCACAGCATCTTTAAACTCCTGGACTACGGGGACAAAGTGTAAAAGGATCGCTTTTGAAAAGGTTTGATTTGTTCAGTTCATCGTTCTTTTAATTTCGTTTTGTTTGCCTCCTGTGAAAAAAAAAAATACTTTTAGCCTTTTTTGCTTTACACACTCATTATTTCATATGTCTGCTCATAAAAAGTGCTAGAGTCATGAGTTTCACCATTTTTGACAACGTTGTTGTTGCTGCTATTTCAGCCCGGAAGATGTTACAGGTTTTCTTAGTATTACCCTGTTATCAATCATCTTACAGTTTTCTGTGTTTGTCATATTTTGTTGAAGAGATGAAAAGTTTGATTGATTGACTGGGATAGCTCAACAAAATAATGTTAATATTATTGGGTATGGCACCACTGGGAAACCGTGACGTCATTAATTTGGCTGCCATATTGCTTGCCATCTTTTTTTGCTCAAAGTTGTCTTAATGGCATAAAAAGTGAGAATTAGGTTTGAAGTATGATATAATTAAATATGATTATATATGTACTTTTCTTGCAAAGAAAGTAACGCGCATTTTTCCTAGAAGTCGCTTAGCCTTATGCTATTTATGACGTCTTATCTTGCTACCATAGCAAACTTCCATCACCAAATGTTAGCGGAATGTTGCTAAGGAATGAAATGAGCAGTTACTGGAAAGGAAAGCTTTAGGCTCAAAATCTGTTTTTGAAAATATTGGCCAAAACCTGTCCGTCTCAACCACTTCAGTACTTAAATTTTAAGTTCTAAATCTTCAGTCTCTTTCTTGTTCCTAATTTTTTTTGGACAGAAAAGAACAAATTATGAACAAGAAGGGGATTAGAATGAAAAAAAAAAGAAATAGAGCAGAAAAGATGGGGCTTTAAAGGACCAGAATGAGTAAACTGAAGCAGCTAAAGAAGAAAATATATAAAAATTTAGATCCAGAAAATTAAACAACTTTAAATTTGAAGAAACAAGTGGGTCAAGTAAATATATTACCAACATCGAAATTCATAATAAAGTAACAAACTGATTAAAAAAAAAAACAGGGAACAATAGTTTATGTCAGGTAGGTTGCAGGGAGCAAAGAAGGAAGCAAAATAATTTTTTTAAAAAAGATAGAAAACACTGAAGCAATAAGGACGATTAAATTTTACTTAGAAACTTTGAAAATCAAGGAAATGTCAAAAAATTAAAAGTAGTAAATACCAAATATTGTTTCAGAAGAAGTATAGGGGATTATATTGCTGATAAAGGTAAAAAGTCTGGCACGGACTACCTCTCGCTCATTTTTGAAAGAAAACTCTTTTTATTCATGCAGTTAGATCTCACATTCTATTTTCATTTAATTTTTTTATCAATATTAAATAATTGTGATTTTATAAATTAGCACTCTGATCAAAACGCTCTTGTCTTTATTTATTTTTTCTTCTTTTCTCGTTTTTGTATTTGACCCTTTCTCCACTACAAACCAAAGAAATATAGTTACAAAAACATTCAAATTTCCGTATGCAAAATCCTAATAAATAAATTGTACTTTTGCAAGGGTCGAATGACAAAGAAGATCCATATATGTCAATGGTAACACTTATAATAGGTTTTCGCCCACAGATTATGTTAGAGAATAAAATTATCTCCTCTATCTCCTTATCTAGTGTGGTCTACGAGTGAGGTGCAACCTCGCTCCCGGGGCGAGGTTGAGTGAGGTGATCACACTGATTTTGGTAAATAGCTAATTTATTTGACGCTCCACTGTATTATCCCTGGATCAGCAACAGAGCTGCTTTCTAGGGCAGACATATTACCTTCAACACTCCCCTGCATTATTTTTGTTAGCTGAAAATACATAATTGATGGATGATATTATTTCTCTACTTTTTCTCTTCTTCAGCTTTTCTTGGCTCTTCCAAATATCATCGTTACAGCTCGTCACCAGGTTCTTAAAAGACCTCAAGACGGTTTGGCCGTGTGGGTGGAAGACTCGCGCAAGGACAGCTTTAAGCTTTGTGCCAGAGAAACTAAGATTTTTGATGGAATTCATAAAAACATTAAAGTGGTGAGTAATATTCCAGTTACTTGATTTCTTCACCTACTTCTTGTTTTGTTATTAATGGTGTCTTTAAACGTGATAGAACAAATTTTATATTCTGTGATCTTCGCAATTTTAGAAACAACAAGTTAGATTCACATTAAAAAGGGTGGCACCAGTTGCATCTTAATTGATATTTAACCATATGAAATTTGGGGTTTTATCTGTAACGGGTCGTGAATACATTCCAGATACCTATGTTTCATTGCACTGCTACTCCTTTTGTTATGAAAGCCAATGTCTTAATTTCTAACCGAGTACTAATTTTGATTTTAGTATCATTTAACTTCATATCGTTACCTTTTTCCTGCAGGATTGGATGGCTTTTATCAAATTGAAGACTGACAATTTCACCTTGACTAACAGTCTGGTGTTTACAAACAACAACTCACCATCAAACAAAAAAGACAACAACGCTGTCTGTCAGGTATATGGTCATGTTTAATGGTGTTCAACTTTGACCACTCTTATTTTCCCCTTTCCTCTGCTTTTATGTGTCCTTCAAATTATGGATTAACTAATATCAGGGGCAACCACCTATGTTTTTCTCCTAAATACATTGAAAACTCTTTTTAGCCTCTACAGAGCACTTTTAGATCTCTAGAAATGCATGCTAAGTGGCCCTATAAAATTTGTATCTGTTCGTGCATACTAGGGGAACTTGAGTCTTTTCGAAATTGCAAGGGCTACAGTGTTCTTATCCCGAGAATTTTAGATGCAATTTATTTGCGAAAGTGAAAGTTTTTCTAATTCCTCTCTCCATCACATTTGTGAATCCGAAAAGACATGAATAATTGTATCCTTTCAAAAGAAAATCTCTTTTTCCACTTGTATTTAGTTGGTAGGAGGACTGAATCAGAAAATGGATGGTAACATTTTAGAGTCTTTCTTGGAAAGAATCTATCTATTTCAAATGATATTTAATATCATTTGTTTTGTCCTATTTTCAGAAAGTCAACTTCCAGGATGTCTTTTATGCCCCTCCCGTTGTATTGGTGTCTCCAAGACTTGGTTACAATAACAACAAATCACGTTTCTCAGGATCCGAACAATGCAATGCAGTTACTGCCTGGGTTGAGGTTAGAAACATAAAGTCTCCTTACTCTTCCTGTGGTTCTAATGAAGGGAATTTTTTTAAAAGTCAATAACTTTTTCCTGATTGATCGTTGATTGATCGTTGCTCTTTCACTCACGTTAAAAACCTAGATTTTTCCAACAACGTATAGTCTACAGGGGTTGATATTACTAACTTTACTTTCTAATTTTCATATAAATATGGTAGATATCGTTCAATATAAAAATTTTTCTGCAGACTTGTCGGATGAAAACTGACCTTTCATAGTTTTGTACTCGTTTGGTTTTTTAAAATGGAGGACTTAGAAATTTTAGTATCATCGGTTCTTAACAATTGCTATATGCGAATTTTTACTCTACTTGCACTAACCCTAATATTTACCATCAATAAATCGACATCAATAAATCGACAAGTCAGTTAAATTTGAAAACTTTATTTTATTACTTTTAGGTTTTACTAACATACAATGAGAACCTTTACTCTAGTGCAACAAAATGTTATATTATGTGGAATGTGAACTTAAAGGTCAAATGAACCAAAAAAATTGAAATGTTTTCTTTTGTCGCTTTACCTTCACCAAACACTAAAAAGAACCATCCTAAGTGAGATTTGGGTAAAGATTTTTCTACCCAAGCCTTTATAGAAAGATAAAAGATCAAAATCCGAGCATTTCCGAAGACGTCACGAAAACGTTTCTGAAATGGCCGCGAGATAGACTGGAGACTATGACGTCAGTGTTGGTCTTTCAGGGCGGAAAAACGTTCTGCGCAAGCTTCCGCGCATCCCTTATCGCCTGCGTTTGTTTGTCTCGTTCTGTGAGAGTTCTGACTGAGACAGAATGAAATACACGAGGTGCGAACGTTTGCTCCTTGTAAAGGCTTTTTTGGGGGTTTTTGTTGTTGTTGTGGTTTTTTCGTCACTTGAAAATTACTTTGGATTCAGAACAACCAATGTTAGAGTAAAAACAGATCATTCCGTCAGTCTGAGGAGGAATAAAACGTTTTGAACATTTCAAAAGAGGTTTGTATTTTTCTATAATTGTGCATTCGATTTGTGAATTGATTTTGTGTCCAGTGCTTCGCCTTCTTTCCGGCAGGGCTGAATTAAACTGACCCGCTTGTATTCTGTTATTAGTAGTTACGGTTAGTTTTTTTACATGCCCAGATTCATTTACCTTAGCAGAACCAGCTTTATCCTTGTCTTACGTCAAAGAACCGTAATGCTAACGCTTGCGAGTGAACAAACTTGAACGCTTAAAACTTCCTCGGAACTATAGAAGGCTAGCAAGCTTATTCGAGAAGAACAGGCTACTTCGATCACTTTTCTGTTGCTCAAGTAATAATAGTCAGAGTTTTTTTTTTTCTTTTTTCATTTTTAAGTACGTAGTTTTGTTTTCTTTCTGTACGCAAATTTTCGTTTTCACTCGCTGTGAAGTAGCTGAGAACCACAACTGCCGGCAGTGGCTTCAAAACAATTAACTCTTTGCCCGTAAACTATTGCTGGAGCTGGAGTTGACTGAAGCCCACTAGTATCTCGCACAGAAAATTCACTTCTTCATTGTCAGCAGGTATAAGAGCCTTAAGTCTTATGTTTTTTCAGTGGAAATTTGTTGCTTTGCTTTTTTTAGTTCACTTAAGCTGAATTTTATGCATGATGGAATTGTTCTTTGCTTTTCGCCTCTCTTTGCAAGCTTAAAGTGGCGTCTATGGTCCTCAAAGTGACCTCAGTCGGTAATTAAATCTTATGCATAACTGGAGAGAAGTTTTTGCAATAATGCAACTTCAACTTTGTTTGAAGGAAATCTTACTTGGTTTTTGACAGGTGTTATGCATGTTCAACTTGACAACACAAAGCAAACTTTATCTGCGCGAAACGATCAAGTTTAAAAAACTGTAGTTGCTTTGAAACCGATTTTAGGGAAGATTTTACTAGATAAAGATTAACTCTTCTTCTGCCAATAAATCAACGCCAAAACTTCTACATTGAGGATTTTGTCTATATTTTATTATAACATAGCTAGAAAATTCGCCTAATCAAATTCAATAGCGCGAGCGTGCTTCATATTCCTATTGAGCACGCTGATGACGTCAATAAACTATTCGTAATTCCTCGAGTTGTTGTGAGCTTAGCAATCCTGAGTCTCATGAGTGCATCCATAACTCGGCAGTACACGATAAAACGTTTACCATGTGTTTTATAAGGAAATTTAAGAGGAAACGTTTGAATTTGTTAACCGATAGTAAGGAAAAGAGGTGAGTGCTGTTGTTGTTGTTGTTGTCATCTCCGCGAGCTGTGCAGACTATGGCGTGAGATCATTCTTTGCAAAGTTGTTTTCTCTCAATAACAATTTTTCGGTGAATTAATAGTCTTCCGGCACCTAAATATAGATTTTACAATCATTTTAGAGTTCACTTTCTCTCAGTTTCAGGATAAAAACATAAGCTTAACTGTGAGGAAAAAAATATACTCACGTAAACATTGACGCGTACTGCTTTGAGCGCGCCCTACAATAATAAAATTTTAAGTTAACTGGTGCATTGATCGCTTTGATAATGTTATAAAACAATTAGTTCATGCTGCAGCTGTGCGTATGTCGAGATATTGAGCACTTGGGAAGTTTGGAGAGCACTCAAGAGGCTAGAGTTGCACTCGGCTGCGCCTCGTGCAACTCTTACGCCTCTTTCGTGCTCTCCAAACTTCCCGCGTGCTCAATATCTCGACATACGCACGCTGACGCATGAACTAATTGTTAAGTGTTCTGCGAAGCACAGGTGTCCGATCGAGCGTGGGTTTTAAAATATCAGCTCTAGTGCGACAAAGTACAATGACTTCAAACACATTGTGGGCAAGCGTGAATTTCGTTGGGCAAATCACTATACAACGATATTTTGTTTTTGTGTCCACAGTGGAGCTCCCGACCTTATATATTCAGAAACTTCCTTATATGAACACGTTTTGTGAATACATCTTGAAAAAAATCGGACCTACGCACGCATATTTCCAGTACAGCGCAAGGAAATTAATGCCGTCGTTAAAGTCCATTTTACTATGTATTCTTCCAGAAAATTAAATAATAAGGTTATAACCACAGTTTGCAACTTTTGAAGACAAATTGCTTGTTCTCTCTAGGATTATGGCCGCACAAACCACCACATTCTGCGCCAAGTCGACTCGAAAAACACTGTTTTGAATTTCCCGCTTTTTTTCACCTGACCAACATTGACGTCACAAGCTGTTTTTACCGACAATTTTTCCGACCGCTCTACGAAGATAAGGGCCAAAAAATAACAATTTTTAATTGCGAATATCTCGGAGATGCTTGCTTCAATTGAGCTGAAACTTCATAGTATGTTTATTTGGTTCATATTAAACATATTTCACTAGAATTGAACTAAAATAAAAAATGTCGAATTTTTGGTTCATTTGACCTTTAAAGTATTTCTTTCGCTGTTTTGGGATATGCTTAGAATACATCTACAAACGAAACAGAAGTGTGTGTGAGAAGCTACAACAATGACGCCAACTATAAGGGTATCATAAAGGTCGATTATATGGTAATTGGAGGTACGTAATAAATTATATATGTAACGTAAAACGAGGGAACAGTAACGACTTTCATCTGTAGACAATCAAGGTGCTCTCCTAACAATTATACATAATAGTGCTTAACTGTACAATACAAAAATGTATATGTTTCGATCAAATTTTCTTGTAAATTAAAGTTCTTTAATTTCCATTGTCTCAAATCATTCAGATTATACATTACAAGGCCCCAAAACCAAAGAAAGTGAGATTAAAAGCTAAGTTAAAATCAGGCGCGTAGCTGGGGTTTGAGAAGGGGTGTTGGTACTGATACGAATATTTCTTAACAGCGGGAAATACTGCGAGGGCCAAAGGCGCGAGCCCCTAGGGGTTTCTTCAGGCAATTGCTGCCCCAGAAAATTTCGAAATCTAGAATACTGGAAATACTATTTTCAGGATTCAGTAGTCTCCACATGAATATTTCAAACGTGATCAAGTCTAAGATAACAGGTACTTTTGGTCATGACAACAATATTTTCGTTTGACTTGGAGCATTCACACATAGTGATACATACTGGCTAAGTACACGAAACGTTTTACAAAATCGACGTGTGCTGCAAGGTATCTCGGAGCGAAAAGCTTAAGGTCTCGGTAAAGGAAAACGAGGTGCCCACAGAAAAAAATTCTAGTCGCGCGAGTATTTTCGCTACAAAGGCAAGTTATATATCAAATTAAAGCTAAAAGACTAAATTACCTTATAAAAGATTTTATTTCATCAAATTTCAAAAGGCGCTTAAGTTTTTTGCTCTCGAACTCAGAGGTATCGAGTTTACTGCTGAAGCTCCAGCCCTTTCGCGTTGTTAAATATTCACTTCCTTTTTATTGCATCTGATTGACAGATCATGAAAAGACCTAAAAAAGGGTGTGAGGAAATTTGCATGTCTCGTATTAGCGGAATTATTGCATTTCAAACTAAAAAGTCGAATCTCGAGCGCGATTTACGCAAAGAAACTGACATAGAAAAAGTTACAAAGGGAAATCGGAAAATTCCTTACACACTGTTTGAGTCTATATAATTATCCATCATATCCGAAAGTTTCAAAGCGATAGCTTTTAACCTGTCCCGACTGGAGGTCGGAGAATTTTGATTTTTGCGCCTGAAATAGAGTGAGAGAAAATCAGCTTTAAAGATTTAGCGCGAGGTCCACTCTTGGCTGGTTAGCTCAGAAAAGGCTCAGTTTAGAAGGGTTAAAAAGCACTTTCTGATTTTCTTTTTCTGCCAAAATAAAATTTAGGACCCATTCATGGCAAAAATCCAAAAAAAAAAAAAAAAAAAAAAAAAAATCGAGCAATGTACTAAAATTTTCATTTACCGAGACCTTAAGCCCCCCAGTTGCCCGGCTCCGCTCTGTTTGTACTTGATATACATGATAGCCAGTGAGGAAAGCCTAGCCTCACCCATGGCACATCTCGTGTAATTGTTTTAGCCTTCTCTTTGTGCTGATTGAACGCTCGCATTCGCACGATATCACGGGAAGAGTAGCCGCAATCTTGAGAAGAATGTACGAGTTAGAAAAATCATCAGGATCACATGCTTTCAAGGACGCAGCGCATGAATGAGCCGTAATTATCCTAGCTTGCACCTTCATCTTCCAACGCTCAAATTAAATTACTAAGTCAGTTAGCTGCTGAGCAGTGATTTGGCTTTCCTGATTTACAGATGGAACTAACCCGAGCAGCTTACTGACCCTCACTGGCTATCATGCATATCAAGTACCATATGCTTATAGATCTGGCCTCAGTTGTTCAAAAGCTAGATAGCGCTATCCAGCGGATAAACCTCTGTCCAGTGGATAGTGTAATTGGTTTCTCTAAGATGTATCCACTGGGTAGTGATTTATCCGTTGGATAGCGCTATCCAGCTTTTGAACAACTGGGACCTGGACGAAGTTGTCAATTTATTTGAAGGCCCAATATATCCTAGTGCCCTAGTATTATATGTAGTGAAAATAATCCCGCCATTGAGGTTATTTCCTTAACAGGCGTTCCGTATTTGACAAATGGAGTCTCGAAAGACGAAAGGCAGGGAATACGATTTTCGGGGGACCTAGGTGATACGTGTTTAATACAAATTGACGTTTGACGCTGCTTTCAGTACAAAGACAGCGGAGCCGGGGAACGGGGGCGCTTAAGCTTTTGCTCCGAGATACCTTGCAGCACACGTCGAGTTTTGTAAAACATTTTGTGTACTTAGCCGGTATGTATCACTATTTAGGGAAAACAAACTCTGAGTGTTTTTAGTCCTCCATCATTGACCTGCAAAGGGGATTCGTTCGAACCCCTCGAACCCCCCCTCCTACGCGCCTGAAAATTCAGCAATATACGACATATATGGAAGCGCTAATGTGTTTTAGGCTGTGTTCACATTATACCGCGGGGTATCTTTTCATGGCGCCACGAGAAGCTATCCTGTATAGTGTGTGAACACCTACATGTATCCAACATGTGACTCTACACTTTGGAGATCGGCGGGGCACAGCCAGACGCTCCGTCTCAGAAATCACGCCGCCACAACCGTTTTTGCGTTTGAACAGAAGTCCTATCCGATATGGCTTTCTTGGCGGCGCACAAGCTATCCGGTATACTGTGAACATAGCCTTAACTTTTATCCAGTTCCCTGATAACTGAAAATTCCAGGCTGTTTCATCTATTGACGAATTCGAAATGAATGAATCTGAAATATTTAATGATGCCATCCGATTCCAACAATTGTATGTTTGTCTTTTAGATTTGGATCCTTGTATAGATGTAACATGTCATTATCACAGTCTGTGCAAGGCTTTTGGACCTAATGATGCACGCTGTGTGTGTTTGGACAGCTGTCCAACTTACAAAGAACCCGTATGTTCATCCAATGGCACAACATACGACAACAAATGTCTGTTTGAACAGGAAGTTTGTCTCAATCGACTAAACTTTACCGTACAACATCCTGGCAGCTGTGAAGGTCAGCAGTTTCGTTGCCTTTTTTGTAGTGGCCAACGTGCACCTTTTCACAGAATCCTGTTAACCTTGTTGGACTGATAGTGAAATTTTCTTTTACTTCATTTCCGTTTACTTTCCCAATCTTGGGCGCGAATAGTTGCTGCGCCAACAAGGGATTTAAGTTTGTTACTATAAGCCTATAAATAATCTTTACAACTCCTTTTTAGGATTTCCTCTTCAGCGTGGTCGCCTTCACATGGCCCATATTCCATCTCTGGGTTATTCTCACTGTCAAGTAATTCGTTTCGAGCCATTTGTGTTTTATCCTGACAAATCCATTGAAGTGCAGATAACTGTCAATCATATGGATACCACTGACAAATCGTATGTCCATGACGCGGCGGTATCGTGGATTGAAAATGTCAATAACGGCGGATTTACTGCCTGTGTGATGGCAGCCGGATATAACGAACGAACGTCGTATGCTAACGTGACAGTTGATTGGATGGCGTATCAAGGTGCTCCAATGGGTGGCGTGACTGGTGAACTGCGCATGTCACAGTGGTGGACAGGGACGACTTGTGCAACTGTCAAATTTCCCACTGTAAGTTGCCCTGATCTATTTCTGAACGTTCTCTTTTTCAAAGCTTTTATGGTTATAAACATCATTCACGACAGCTGAACGTTTGGAAGTCTTGTCAAATTACAGTTCAGGGTGCTTTATAGTTGTGAGAAAATGCTAAACATTACAATAGTTAATGAAATGGAATAAAATATATAAAGTGATCGTTCTTTCACTAATTAACCACATTTACTTATCTAACTGTGTTCGAAGAAGTGAAACATAACTTTCAAACTGCCGCTTTTAATAACTTTGCTGAATCTATAAAGATCACCATTCTTTCTTTGAATTGTTAATAAAGTAGATAAATAAAAAAATAAAGAAATAAATAAGAACAGATTATAATAATAATTTTAAATAGAAGCATTTTATCAAAATGACAATTTTTCTGTGCTATTTGCAGAGGAAATTTTCAGTCAAACCTTCAGTCTTATATTTTATAATATATATATATATATATATAGAGAGAGATTACTTCATGGTTGGTGAGTGCGTACGATTTTTATTCACGAGTTGTGAAGAATCGAAAACGAACGAGTGAGCGCAGCGAACGAGTGAGTTTGCGATTCTTCACAACGAGTGAATAAAAATCGTACAAGCGAACCAACCATGAGGTAATTTGTTTATTATATATGTACTGAGATATTACAAAATAATGTTAACAACTATCAATTGCGCGGTGAAATCAACACAAAGACCACAAAAGTGCTAAAATTTGCCGCTACACACTTACCGCAAAATGACAACGAAAACGAAGTATCAGCATTTTAGTAAAAACGTTTGTTAAAAACATAAATGACGGTGAGGATATGAGGTAATCCAAGAACTATAAGTAATCTTAACTGTTTGTTCTCAATGTACAATTGAAAATGAGTGAATTTAAGTAAAATGGCCGGTTTCAATATAAGCTTAAGCTTAAATGAAAGGCAAAGTAGCTCCGACAAAAAGCACAACAAAAGCTTACGTCTCATTCTGTTTATCCCTTTCCGCTGTTGTTTCCCCGGCTCTCTACCGTTTTCTTTATCGACAGTGAAACAAACGAAACTATTCTACTCCATTTCTGAAATGTTTTTCACTTTTTTAGCGAGAAATACTAAAAAAACTTTTCTCGTTGAATGTGTGCGAAGCAGCGCCGCAAGCTGCAATAAAAGGCGGGAATTTTGGCGCGAAACTCACACACCTCTGTGGCTTCTGATTGGACGTATCATTTTTCTCACACGTGAAAAAACATCGTTCGCGATTCTGATTGGACGTATCATTTTTTTCACGTGTGAAAACCATCGTTCGCTCCTCTGATTGGCTAGAACTATTTTGCGTACGAAAATTTACGACATAGCTTTTTGGTGAGTATTTCTCAGTATGTATATAATAAATATATATATATATATATATTTTTTATAATAAGGATAAATGCAGAGTACGCCAAGCATTTTATCAGAATGACGATTATTCTCTGCTATTTCACAGGGGAAATTTTCAGTCAAACCTTCAGTCTTTGTGACGTCAAAGCATTACAATCCAGGACTAAAACGTGACGCTGCAAGTGTATGGATTGAAGATGTAACAAAATCATCTTGTAAAGTTTGTATGAGAGAACTGCAGAATTATGCTGGATCGCACCGAGATATTTTTGTGGTAAGTATAATGTATCCTTAAGTGAATGTCAAACATGGATCATGCCTTGGGCTGCCACGGGCTTTATAAGTTACAGGTAATTCTACGGATACCCTTAAAAAGAACAGCCCGTAGTTATCATAGGTCGAGCAACTCCGCAAATTCATCTTAGAATTAGTTAGTAAAAGGCGCCATTCTTCACCTTCACACCTCATGCCCATTGCTTTTATTATTTATCTATGCATGCCGGTCGATTAACGAGAAATAACGGGTTGTTGATTTTATTTTCAGAATTGGCTGGCCTTTTCGGATCTTCCCAACCCTCCCTTTTCAGAACATAACTCGATCTACTTTGCAAATGATAAACCTCCCAACAGCAGACATTATAATGTATTTTGCAAGGTCAGTATGAGTGTTTGAGTTTGAATCCAAATCTCAGTGAAAAAGCCGTTTTTTACCATCTGATGGTAGTTATCAAATTTTACTTTCAGACCATTAAAGCGAAGCTGTTTAACCTGTAAAAGTCTTAGCAATATACATAATACTGACAATTCCATAGGTCACACATTCGCTACTTCTATACCTCAGTCACCTCTATAATGGAGTCTGTCCATTTGGTGTTTGTATGCATTGAATAGTTTTAAGAATTAAATGTAAGTATTCTGTGAAAGGAGAATGATAGAGTAAAAGCACAAAACCCATTTGACTGGCAATTTCAGGTTATGAAAGGTTTAAAGTTTAGTTGCAGCCTATGTTTCAAAGGGCTTCTTGTGCCGAGCTGAGTGAATTCAACTAACTGGTTGGCCTCAAAATCTGTTTCGTCTTTCTGTATTTGTTTCACAGATTTGAGCTTCTCAGTTTGGAAGTGTACTTTACGTAATGCCAGCCCAGTTTATTGTAAACGTTGATATGGCGCGCTTTTCTCAAAATTTTAAACTCAAAGTTAATAATTAGTTAATTCACGATAATCTCAAAATCGCCCGGAAAACAAAAAGACCTCCTTTTTCAAAGGTGGAGCAAAGCCTAATCAAAACTGAGGTTCTCAAATTTCACTTTATTTCCTTTTTACCCGTCTCTAGTCAATGACACTTTAAGGTAGTATCTATGAACAGTAAAGTAAGATTTAGTCATCCAGACTTACCAGAGGATTCTATCAATACAAAAAAAAAACTGTTGGACTTGGAAGTATTCTCTGTAGTTATTTCTTAATTAATGAATTATCTGTCTCTACAACTTGACTGTATAACCTCTAGAGTGAACTAAAAAAAGAGGTGTGCGAATTAGAAGATATCTTGTTAACAATTCCCCTTCAAGTTGAAATATGTTCTTTACCTTTTATAGGAGGCAATCTTTGCCAAAAGTTATAACACAACGCCACACGTCTTCGTTTCTGCTTCTCACTCGACAAAAGGAGGGAATCAAAGTCCAGTTCATAACAGTATAGCTGCCTGGGTAGAGGTTGGTAACTAGTGATGTCAGGATATCAAATTTCATATTAAATTAGTATAGGTAATAGCGTGATTAATAGTGATATTTGGCTTAAATACCACGCGTGATATTTAATCGAAATTGCTATACGTAATTTTTCTAATAACAAACCGAGTTTTAAACTTACCCGAGTGCCCCTTCTTCTTCTCCACAATTCAGTTTTTTCGCTTCACCTTCCTTTTTTGATTTTCCTTTCAGTACGAAAACCACCACCACAGCCTCCAGAACCACATTTTCATTGTTTTTTTTCCGGTCCTCCTCCACCATCACCACAACTATTGTTTTCCCACCACCACCATCTTTCTATTGTTTTCACTCTTCCTCCTCAACCACCACCACCACCACCACCACCACCACCACATTCCAATGCTTATTTCCACCACTACCACCACATTCCAAAGCGTATTTTAGTACTAATGTTTAGTGCTTTTACATACAGTATATTAGCAGGAAAGGATTTCGGGTTTGTGTCAAAGAACTGTATGAGGCAAAATACGACCCACTCTTCATATCCTACATAGTTTTGTCAGGTAAGAACTTTACTGCAAAAAAAAAAGATTTTTTGCGGTATATCTTTCAATATTGTCTCTTATTTGTGACTCCATGCCGTGATTTATACGCACAGATATCTGTCCAGATGGATGGGATTACTTCAATGGATACTGCTATTTAACGAGCACTGTATGCGCACCTTGGGTGACTGCTGTGTCCAACTGTTCGGCTATGAACTCACATCTGGTAACAGTGCACAACCAAGAGGAAAATGTCTACATACAGCACCGTCACAATGGCGAGCGATCATGGATTGGCCTTAATGACCGAAGCGTTGAGGGATCGTTTGTGTGGACAAACAAGGAAATAATCCGTTTTCATTACTGGGCCCCGCAACAACCAAACAACTTGAAAAACGAGGACTGTGTCCACGCCCTTGGTGCAGAGCATGGCTACACTTGGAACGACGTGTCATGTGATAAATGCTATAACTATACTTGTGTTAAAGGCAAGTTTTGAGTTACCATAGAAATACTACAAATCCAAACCTTTTTCACCAATAACGAGGTTTGAAGATCATTTCTGCAGTAGTAAGTTTTATGATAATTTTATCGCCGTGTTGTTGATCAGAATTATATAAAGTCTGCATTTTTATGTAGCAGTCTTCCAGGCGGTAGTCTTAATATTTAGGTACTCCAAAAAAAATCTTCATGTGAATGATAATACTGCTACCAAGTAAGATCACGGTGATAAATTGGTCTTCATTGACTTTTGTTGTCTGCTGCAGAGATTGACGAATGCATCAGCAATTATCACAGGTGTGATCCAAACGCTGCTTGTCAGAATACCGTGGGCTCATACATTTGCACTTGCAAAGCTGGATTCTATGGAAATGGAAAAAAGTGCTCTGGTAACTATCACAATTCTTTTTTTGTTTTCCCGACCTTTGCATTCTGGTTGGCTGTTGAGTTAACATATTTCCCTTTTAAGGTAACTAAGGTACTTTATTCTTATCCAATATGTATAGATCAGAACTTACCAATAAACTAAAAACTAACTAAGAATTACAATGGGCATTCTCGGTCTTCGTTTTGACAATTAATTAGGCTCATAGAATATCTGCTAATAGCACGTTTAGTGTCCTATCGACTCCTTCTGGGCTCAGGTTTGACATTTAATGTGATATATCATCAAATTGAGTGGGACTCTGCGACATGTATAAGGTATTCTACAGACTACTATCAACGTCTTACTTTAGAAAGTTGGTTTACTAACTTAGAACAAACGCCACTGAATCGTAGCCAACAATTGCCAGCGCCGTACAAACGACTTATTGACGAGATCAAGCAAAACTAACAACGAGAGAACGACTGGAGAACTGACAATTTAACTAAAAATAAACGGCTGTTTAACTGTGACAATAGACGGATCGAAACGCATCAATTGCTTATTACGAGACTTCATAGCCAATAACATCACGGCTTAACTGACAGACGACCAATAACATCGCGACGTAATTGACCAATCAGTTCAATAACCAGAGTATAATACCATCAACTGACGTGATACAACTCACTTTGACTCTGAAGATGACTACCGCACAGGTTGTCGAAACGTCAGTCACTGTCAACAACAACGGTTCACCCGGACGATCAAACTCAACCTACTTTTGATATATATTTTTGTTCAACTTGTCAGTTGGTTTAAACTTATCATAAATTGCCATAAGTCAAAACAAAGTAATAAAAAATTATCAGCGCTAGCACATAATTTGCTTAGTCAGGATTCACTGACTACTCAGATTATCATTTGTTTTCTCCGTCATTAGACATTGATGAATGCAGCAACAAAACCCATAAGTGTGATGTGAATGCAGTCTGTAGTAACACTCAAGGGTCTCACAACTGCACCTGCACACCTGGATACTCTGGAGATGGAAAGAAATGCATTGCAGTTGGTATGCAGCATCCCCACAGAATTTCTATGATATTGTCTATAATTATTTTATACTGTTTAGTACGGAAAGCTGGTTCAGTTTACGAATATTTTGACTAAATATAGACAGTCAGGCTTAATTTGGTAGGCGTTTAGCGCCATTATTCTGGGCCTGAATTTTTTACACAGTTTCTCATACAGCTTGCAGTACAGTGTACAAAAAGCAGATATTATTGTTGACTCTATAAGTTGTAAAGTATCCATATCCTGTCAAATGTAGAATTAACACGCAGTGCTAATGTCATGTCTTCCAGCGAAGAACTGTGCTGAACTGTACAAAGCTGGAAAGCGATCAAGTGGAGTTTACAAGATCGACCCAGACGGTGCTGGTGCCTTTGACGTGTACTGTGACCAAACAACAGCCGGTGGGGGTTGGACAGTGTTCCAAAAGAGAGTAGATGGCTCGGTTAATTTCTACCGCGGCTGGAACGACTACAAAAAGGGGTTCGGAAATCTGAATGGCGAGTTTTGGCTCGGACTGGACAAAATTCACCGCCTGACAAAAACTAAAAACAAACTTCGAGTGGATCTCGAGGACTTCAACAGAAACACGGCTTATGCTGAGTACAGCTACTTTGCTATAACAGACGAGAGAAGCAAATATAAGCTGAGTCTTGGAACTTACTCCGGTAATTATATTACTTACTGGATTAAAAATGGAGTTCGGGGAAACGCCTTATAAAGGCCTAAGGTAATGCTAATGACTTTGGCATTTAAGAAATAAAGACTCACCACAGAGATACAGTTAGTCCCTCATACAGTGAAGTATGTAATAATCACACAGCTATCATAAAATTAGAGTAAAGAAAATTAATATAATATGGAGCGTTAGAGTGATTTTACTTCGACTGACCATGAAACGGATTCAATGCGTCCCGCTGTTTTTAGATCTCAACCATCGTAAAATCATTGTTATGTGGAGATACATTCAAGGAAATATCGTTTCTTCGAATTTTATTTTCCAGGAAATGCTGGTGACTCGCTAGCTCGTCACGGAGGCTACTCTTTCTCCACTAAAGATCGAGACAATGACGGCACTTCTGGTAGCTGTGCTACAAGTTACAAGGGGGCCTGGTGGTACGAGAGCTGCCATCAGTCCAACTTGAACGGCCTCTATCACCGCGGAAGACACTCTTCATTTGCTGACGGTGTTAACTGGTATCACTGGAAGGGATATTATTACTCCGCTAAACGAGCTGAAATGAAACTCAAACCAGTCAACTTCTAAACCAACAAACGGCGGTTTCCAGCGCTTATATTTGCTGGATTCGTAATGGTCGTTTAAATAACTTAGCTGCAACACATTTTGTTAGACTGCTGCTGAAATGATAAATGAAGCATAACAAACTATTGTCACAGATTTGATGAAAAAAAAAATAATAAAACTATGAAATAAAAGATGTTGCAATTGGCTTTCGCAATTTACGATTATATTGTTTCTTATTTATACTAACTGCCTTCTGTCCTACTAGTCTTTCTTCTTCGAATCACAGAGCTTTATGGTTTTTTTAAAATACTTCTCCTATGCTTGCTTTATTATGCGTTATGGCCCAGTCAATTCCAAACGTGCCCATACCCCCTCGGGCATTTGTCAATTCTTCTAGAAACGGTTAACATTGTTGCTTTGTGAATATTTCACTTAAAAATATGCCTATTTTGATAGCTATTGATGTTTTTATAAAGAATGTTTTTAACACATATGCTTCAAAAAGATACATCTAGTTTTCGCTTCATCACCACCCTACCACACAGTATTTTTTGCATCCGTCTAATTAAAGCAGTTTCCGGCAACGTGATCAGTTCGCACATGGAGGAGAAGCAATCGATACAACGTTTAAAGGAAAAGACACTTTCTTTGTGAGCGAATGGTTGAGGTAGAGAGGGCTGGAAAAACTCTGCGAGATGTTTGAAAGCTTTGTGTTTTGTATGATCAATGCGACGACGTTGACGGAACGGTTCCATTGCGATGAGAAAATAATCATGTTTATAAGCTTGTCGGTTATTTGTTTATCATTCACTACTTCGAAAATAAGAAAGGAGTTATTAAAACTCTAGTTTATAGTTCTGTCATTGGTATCAATCAGATCGGATAAATGTTTTGTCCAATAATTATAACTGGCAGCTAGGAGCGATTTGCGTAGGGTGTTTCACGTGTTTTGATCAGATTATTACAGATTTCCCTTTTAAACTAAATGTGGCATTTGCAGCTTATTTACTGGAAAATGCAATGTTAGTGTTGTCCCGGGGTGGGGCATTTGCCCACTTTTCTTTCTTATGCCCCACCGTGGGATTTTTAGAAGAATCGCTGGACCCCACCTTGGAACATTTGTAGTATTTCCAAAACAGAATGACAAATGTGCGAGGGGGATGGGCACTCTTGGAATTGACTAAGCGGTTATTGACCAAGCATGAAGTCAAGATGGCTTGATATTGGCCAAGTTCCTTTCTCCGTTTTTATTGACCGAGACGGGAGAAATATACAGCCATCTTGATCAAACAAGCCTGGTCAATAAAGGATTAATTTATTATATGGCCAAAAAGACAACATTTTCTTGGGGACCAACGCGAGAAATCCCGAGCCCGCTTGGTTAGCCACTGGAACGCAGGATTTCTTTCATCTTGCCTCCCACGGCTTCAGCCATAAGTTCATTGGTTAATTACGGCAGAGTTCTTTTGACTAACTTGCGCTCTCATATGCGATAGAGGTGTAGAAACTTTTAGCAAGCGCATTCGAACAAAAATAGATCTAGAGCTTTTAAGTGATTTTTCATCTTACCAAAAGAGGTAACGGATACAAGCAGGCGCATTGCAGATCAATTACTCATTGAGTACTGAAATAAGACCTGAAGAACGATCAATGAACATTTCAGTTCACCCAATAGCATTTCAGGTCATTTCAGGCTGTTTTATCGTAGAGTAAGCTGCTGTCTATAAATAAAAGGTTTATTAGTATAGGTAATCACATGATTTCGAGTGCAATTTGGAATAAATAAGCACGAGTAAAGTTTTCAAAGACCAACAAAAGTGCACGAGCCCTTAGAGCAAGTGCACTTTGTGGTCTTTGAAAAATTTACCAGTGCTTATCTATATCAAATTGCACGAGAAAAATCATGTAATTCCTTATCAATAATATGCACGAAAAACATAACTACGACAACAAATTTTGACGTGGGCGGGTTTTCACATGTAGTTCATTTAACTGATTGGCTGAAACAGACTACTACCTTTGTCAAATTCAAACTTTTTTAAGACCAACGCTTTCAGAATCATTCAGCCAACAACTTGGAAATGTGTTGATTGCTTTTACACCAGCCTGTTGGAGATAACTCGGTTTACAATGGTCGGCAAATTAAAGTTAATGTTTTTAGAATCATCCTCGATTATGAAAGCTCAGCGTTTACAAGAGGTATACTGCCGTTTTGAAATCAAATTTTGAAAGACCCGTACTGAGTTTTTCAATGACTGTTCATCATTGTCTGTTCTTGAGACCCCATCATGGCTACCCTGCGAGCACTAGAGAGGCTACATTTTCGCTGTGTGAGCTGTCGTGCGAAAAGGGACAGAGGGAAGAAGAAAGAGCGCTTGGCCGCGCGTCTCAGTAATTTTATATCTGCCTTGAAAAAGTCGACACAAACGCCATTGAGCAAACGTTCTAGTGTAACAGCGAAGGTTGAAGGGGAAGCCTCCTGTTCCCGCCACGGCTTCTGCGTTAAGCAAAGAAATGCTTACTCCGCAGAATATTCCAAGCAAATTTAAGTTTTCAATTGGACGTAAATTAATTTTGGAACAAGAACTTGTGCCTTACAAACGATTTTACAGAACAAGCAAATGAAAGCGCACTACTGACGTGATTCTTTAAGTTGAATTACAAAACTATTTTATCATTTTGATAGCTTTTTCGGAGATAGGCGCAATTGTAGCTGCATGATTGAAGGAGAAAGAAAGATCTCTTGGTCCGTACACAAGTTAAAGAGCGAAAATTTACCAATCACAGATTAGAGAGATAACTTAACTACAGTATAATCAAGTCTCAGTTGCCTACATGTAAATGTACCAACCCACCTTCTTCTGGTCATAAAACCTTGCGTAGTCTCGTTTTCTTTTCTTCGGGTCATGATTGCGTTTAAACGGTTCATAACCAGTTGTTATTTGTCTGCTGCTGTGGCGATAAATCTAAAATCAATATCAACATCGTCAAACAATATTAACCTTAATAGCCAGAATGTAAGAATTTAGGAGTTTGTAACGAAAAACATTCTGATAAGAGATTATCAGCCTAGGGTACTCATACAGAGGGTGATGGAAGTAAAAGGGATGTGGATCACGGTGAACATTGAAAAACCTTAAAGTCCTCCTCCGCCTCTCCCTCCGTTCCCCGCTCCGTTCCCCGCTCCGTTTCAATCCACGATCTGTTCTCCGCTCCGTTCCTCGCTCCGTTTCCCGCTCCGTCCCACGCTCCAATCCCTGCTACGTTCTACGCTCCGTTCCACGCTCCGTCCCTAGCTCAGTTCCCTGTTTTATTCTGTTCATGATAGACGAAAGAAAACTAAGTTCTCTCTTCTGATCACTCTTGACAATTATGGAACAAGTAGTACCCCATTGATCTCATACAGACGCGCAAGGTTTAGCAAGGTTGCCCGCTAACAGTTCCCAGCAGTATACTAGTCTAAACTACTATACTAAACGGCTCGAATTTTCGAGAAGGTCCAGAACGCGCAAGCAGTGAAACTGAAAAACTCAGAATGAGACAGGAGAAGGACTCTTCCCCTCACCCAGTCGATTTTGAGAAAACTGACAAACTGACAAAAAGAACTGAATTTGCACAACCTACTAGTGATTTTGGCTTGCAGAGACTGGTAAACCTAGTTTTAGCACTTCAAACGAACGCCGGTCACTTAGGATTCCAAAGATGCAGCACCATCATCCCGGCATTGTGAAGTCATAATCTTGTCAAGTTTAACCCTTAACAATCTCATGGTCTCCAAATTGTTCAAGTACGAGAAGCAGCAGAGAGGTTGGTATTATCAATTGAGTTGATTCAGTGTGTGAATAATATTGGCCACAACAGAGAGATCTGAGAATAGCCATGTAGGGGTTACTAACATTACTGGAGTTACAGTTCTGTTAACGGACATTCCCGTGAGCAGCGCTGAGGCCGCTCTACCTTCCTATCAAACTGCTAGTAGCCTTCCCCCCCACGGGGGTGTACTCCCTTATATAAGCCATATATGGATGTACCGCCCCAAAGGGTAGGGGTATAGATTTTGCCCATTTTGGTCTGGAATCGGGTGCAGTAATCAAGGGAACTACGGGATTGTATGAGGTAGAAAGAAAGAGAAATATTTGAATTCCATATTAATTTTAAGAAGTGCTTTTGTTCCTGTTCTAATCTAAGTAATGAAGAATAATTTCTTAAAGGCCAGGGGCCCGTTTCTCGAAAGTCCCGATAATTAACGGGCCGGGTAAGCTGTCTCGGTCTCCATTAAAGATCGAGGTTTCAATAGTTTTGCATCTAACATGATAAAACTATCAGTTAACGAAACAAAATGCAGTAGTTTGCTAGCCAGGACCCGCGCTCTTATTCTTTTTACTTCGATTTGAATATTTGATTTTGGGCCCGAAAAGTTAACGGGACTTTCGAGAAACGGGCCCCTGGCCCTGGTTGTTCAAAAGCTGGATAGCGCTATCCAGCGGATAAGTATTTGGGAAACCAATTGCGGTATCAGCTGGATAGAGATTTATCCCTCGGATAGCGCTATCCACCTTTTGAACAACTGGGGCCAGGTCTGAAAAAAGGTTGAAAATTGACATTTTTTGGTCTGAATGAAATAGGATCAGGATTTGGAGAACCGGGCGGGGCACCCCCACCAATAATTCACAGGAATACCCCCTCCCCCCGGGGAGGCCGCTTAGGCGGATCATTCCTATATTAAGTGGCCGCTTCCAGTTATAAACCCTCTTCTTGTGTTTTCCAGGAGAGTCCTCTTTCATGAGCTTCAGTGGACGGTATTAGTAACATTATTACTTACTGATAATTCAGATTCTTTTATTCTCAAATACAGTTCATCCAAGCCCAAAATTTGCTGGAAAAACCATTGACCTAAAATAAAAAAGAATGATGTTGAAGTCATATATTGCAAATTGAAGTTATTGAAGGTTTCCTTTCACAGGTTAATTTAAGATGAACTCAGCAAATTGGCCTGCTCCCAATGTATGGCTCTTCATAGCTCAAATGGTAGAGCA